TGAGATGTTTATCTTGTATTTGATTGTGTTTATCTGCAGTTAGTTACACGAATTCAGTTATGGGATGAAATCGGATAGGGATGAAATTGTTTAGGGATGAACGAGTTTAAGAGTTTTAAGAGTTTAAGAGTTTTAAGAGTTTAAGAGTTTTTAAGAGTTTTAGCCAAATGCTTTATAATATAGTATAGATATATATATATATATATATACATATATAAATACATATATGTATGTAGGTACATATACATATGTATAAATCGTGAAAACCGTAAAAACCACCAATTTCATTGTTTATTGCAGTGAAATTTTTTCATGAAATAATTGTTTAACATGTTGAATTTTTTTTCAAATAATTATGGATGTTATCATACTCATTCTATTAACTTTAGTAAACAAATTCTATCGAAATGAGAAATACATGAAACAATTTAATTTTTACATAGAAACAAAAATACATGAAATATTTTCATCATGAAATGAATTATTTGAAACAAGTTCATCGTATTAAACAATTTCATGAAAAAAAAATTCACTAAAATAAAAATAAAAATGAAACTGACGGTTTTCACGGTTTATACAAATAACTTGATTTACATTTTATACCTCTTCTATAACATTTAATAAGCATTTAAACCAAAGTCTTAAGTACAAGTCTTAAAGCATAGATTACTATCATTTTGTGCAAGAAATTCAAAAATATCTTAATTACAAACTATTATGCATAATGCACAAGTTCTTTATGTAAGTGTTTCCTACAACACCAAATCTTAATGGGTTCAAATGTGTTTTCTCTCCTCAAACTTCTAAAATAACCAATCTGGGTTGTTTTCTTCTTCTTCTTCTGTATCTGATCTCGGATGCGACCAAAAGCAATTTGGGTTAGATACAGATACATTTCTTCTTCACAGACCTCGTTTCTCTTATCAATGGTGGTTTTGATGTATCACCTCGATCAGATGTTCGATATCATGTATCAAAGCGATTTGATGTATCACAAGCAATAACACATGGAAGGAGGTGAGAGAAGACAAATGCTACCAATCTGTTTTCATCCAGACGCTTCCTTCCATTTTAAAATGAACTTTTGAGATCTAGGTTTTGTTTTCTGGTTTGGTTCGCAATCCACAAATATGGCTGAAAATGGCGAAGAAAAACAAGAAGGTATGTATCAATTGAATCTATTTTCCAAGGAAACCAAGAGGTAGGTATGTGTTATTGAATGAATCTACGATTTTTGATTTGATTTTGTTATCCAGATCGCATTTATCTCCGTAAACCCTTGAAGAACAAAAATATAGCAAGAAAAAGTGATGGAGACGAAGCCTCTATTGTTGTGATGAAGAAGAAAATCTTGACTGGTTTTGGATTTTATGAACCTTACTGGCTCGTAGACTTTGGTAATGCTTGTATTGTTCTCCACTTAGTTGGAGGGTATCGGGTATGTCATGCCCTTGGTTTAAAACTCTTAATCTCCGTGCCTATGGATCCTTAGTCCTTAACAATTTCATTGTATACATGTTTTTAGATATATGGCCAGACATTATTTGCAATTACGGAAAGATGGTATGTAGAAAAGTTCCTAGAAAACACGTTAACAAGTGATATCGGGAGTTTAAAAGTGTTGGTTTAGAGTGAATCCTCTAGGTTATGTTTTAGAAATACATATATGATATTGAACATGGTACATTGGCTGGTTCCATCGAAGGACTTGTTGCCAAAAGATTTGGCTAGGTACACTACTTTTTTTTTATCTTAAACCTGTGTTTGTATGCCATATGCACACACTATCCATGGATTGGTGGAGTAAAATAGGATGTCTGATTCAATCATAGCCATTTAAAATTGAGTGTGTTTTTATTGGATGATGTTGAACCGATTTCAATATTAATATTCGTATTTTTTATATTTTTAATTACAAACTATCATGCACAATGTATAAGTTCTTTATACAAGTGTTTCCCCAACACCATATCTTAATGGGTTTAAACGCGCTTTCTCTCCCCTGACTTCTTAAATTATATCCTATTCGTACAAACACTAGACAAATAATTTGTCTTATTTTATCCTATCTTTTTCAATCTTGCCACATATCCATTTTCTTTTCCTTTCCATTCTTTAGCTTAATTTCATAATCGCTTATCCTATCTTGTTGGTCTTCTCTCGCCTCATTCCATGTGTGCTGCCGAGAATTCTCTTATGTTTGTCTGAAGACAACATGTTCTCATTTAAAATAAAGAGAAAGCAGTTTCCAATTCGTCTTAACTTTTCTATGACAATTAATAAAGCTCAAGGCCAAACAACTCCAAATGTAGGTGTTTATCTACCGGAATCAATATTCTCGCGCGAGCAACTTTATGTGGCGTTGTCCAAAGGGATATCATGGGGCAATACGAAGGTGTTAGTGAAGCCTGTTAAAAAATTCAATCGTGCTGGAGTCTACACCTCAAACGTCGTCTATAAAGAAGTTTTGCATGATGAATAAGGTATAATCAACAATTATATTATTACACATTTGATACCATATGTTTCTATTAAAATCATTGCTCCATTTTTTGCAGTAAATATTTACATCACGAAAACTAAACAGCAGTTTGGATATACGGATGAACATTATTTACAAATGGTTGTATTTCTTTGTTCAGTCAAGAATTTCAAGTTTTGTAATAGCTCTGAGTATATGGGTTTAGAAACCTAATACGTGTGCGATTATTTTTTCATTCGATATTTGCTAATACACCATATTAACCTTCCACTTTATATATTAATTGACTTACAAAATAACCATATAAACTTATGATTCAAGATCAAACTAATCTTTCAGAATTATAATAATCCGCATTGCATCCTACGGATACATCACCAGTGAGGATTAATTTGGCAATTAAATTATATTTTGATGAAATTATGACACTTTCTCTCCTCCTTTGAAACCCTAGCCGCATCATAGTTGTTCTCCAAGACCAAACCTTTATCTTCTCTTCTGCAATATCTTTTATTGATCGACGATATCTCTCCCTCCGTCGTCACTATGGATGAATGAGTTTGCCCTCATCACCATCCCTTTTGTCAATCTGGCCTACACTATCGTTTTCCCTTTCTTGATCTGGTGAAATCTTAACCAGTGTCGTCGTTATCAACGGATTTATTATTCCGAGATTGATGGACAACATTGGCATGGGCCAAATGCAAAAACGGCAAAGAGCTTGATTTCACAACGGCTGCTAGAACCACCAGTACCCGCACCAGAAAATCGAGTCTCGGAGTTTTCACCAACTTCCTTCTCAGAGTGTTGCAAGTAATCATTTCTGATGCGTGATTAACCAAATTCGAACTTATTCCGGGAGATATCGAAGCCTGAGCATTCGAGAACTCGTCTTTTTCGTCAACATGAACTCCTGACTCACTGTGATTACCATTAGTACCATTAGAAGTAGAGATTCCTCACCAGATGCAATTTCTGCAGATCAAATTTCATGGGGGCAATCCAATCATAGCCAATTCCTGCAGGGTATGATGACTTTTAGATTCAGAGGCTTGCTTATGCACGTTCCCTGGACACATCAATAATGAGTTTTTATTAGCTTCATACATCTTATCGTGTTTTTGTCTTATTTATAAATAATATCATGTTTCATGAAGCCAATTTCTAAATAGTTTTGCAATGGCGAAGTGTTGAGTTATTTCCTTCCCATATTAATGAATTCTAAGAAAACATCACAGAGTTTACTAATTTACACAAATTGGCAACTTCTTTCTTAAGGGAGTGAATCGTCTCCAAAATACCTACATATGTAGCTTACAACTTCACCTTTGCTTACAAATGGACTTATACAAGTATATTTGTAGATAGTGTTTATATATGCTCCTAGTTTCTATAAAGGGTCTAGCCAATATTAGTGCAACACAAAATAACCTGCATTTGCTATTTTTTCAGATATTTTAAATATCCTGAGGCAGAGGCTTGTGGAATCACGAATATTTAATAGTTTCAAAAATGAACATCAGTCTATGCTCAAATCTTTCGGAGATCACATCCCCTTGTTTAGAAAGTTCACAAAGCATAAACATAAATAAACCACTGGCCATATCTTCGATCAGGGCTAGTGATTTCACCAACAAGGACAGTATCCAGGTGTCTAGTCGTTATGCTAGAAAGATGGTGCTTTCATGTCAGTATGTACCAGGTCATTTGGAGGGAACACAATTAATGGGAAAGCCATTGTCAAAGCCAAGACAGAAGTTGGAATCTATCAGGACATTGTTGATTGACAACTACGACAGTTACACATACAATATATACCAAGAGTTGTCTGTTGTCAATGGACGTAAGCTTTCTCTATATCTCTCAGCTTGTGTCCATATTTGTGGGTATGTGCCTTCTTGACATTGTCTCTCTTGAATAAGGAAGCTTAATCAATTTAGGAGATTACATAGGATTTCCTAATTATTCTAATTAATCTAATTTTTTTAATTATATCCCTAACTTTGTAATCTATTTTTCAACACATAGGAATTAAATTTTGTCTGTTACTTCAACTTTAGATGTTCTCGCAATGAGTGGTTCCTTGTCCATAGGTGTCTCTTCTACTCTAATATTCATCGCATGTATTTGGCAACTCATGTTTTGTCTTAATTTAACCTTTTTAACTGATCTTTAGAATATAAATGTTTCTTCCCACTTCTAACATGATGCCTTTGATTCAAACAGAAATTGTGTGATAACCTTTTCCCTAACAAAGTGACAGTAATATAGAACTTGTGCAATTCTGAATGTAATATGAGTAAGAAGCTGAGATTAAGATCCCGTAACAAATTTTGGATGTCCACTGTTTCATTCTCGACTATTGCAGCCCGACTAAGTGCATTCTATGCACTTTTTGTGACATTGTAATCTTCAGGTGTCCATTGCTGATTAAAAGTATGAGCCTTGCACATCTGGCAGGCATTATTTATTCTTGATAACGTGCAAGATCTACTGATTATCAGACATCGGCCTTGCACATCAGATTGCTAAGGTTGTGTGATATTGCAGAACTTTTTCTTAGAGATGCACAATTGTAGAACATTCTAACCTTTTATAATTTTTTGAACTGTTGCGACTTGAATGATGCACATTTTTTCTGCTCATGGTGACTTTTGGTGCACCTATCTACTTCAATCTTGGAAAACTATTCCCAGTCTAGACTCTAGATATTCCAATCTCCCTCCTGACTGTATTATCATTTTCAGCATGCTTTTGCATATCATGTAATCTCTAATTTTCATTGGAACCAAACCAAGAAGCCTCCACGTGCTTCTAGACAGGTTATTGCAAATATTCTGTACATTATGCTTGTAACTTACAGATATATTTGCATAGGACATTCTGTATGTTCGTGACAATAACATACTCATATAGTTGTTAAGATATGAATGCCCATATGTATATTTAGATACCTGATACAGCTTCCGAAAGCTTATGTCTATAATCAGATATAAGTTTACATAAGGCTGCAAACTGTCTCATAAATCTTCATGTTGTCCAGTACCTCCTGTTGTGGTGCGCAATGATGAATGGACATGGGAGGAGGCATGCCGTTATATTTATGAAAAGAGAGCCTTTGATAACATTGTTATATCACCAGGTCCAGGATCACCAGCATGCCCGGCTGATATAGGTAAGACACTGTTTATATGCACTCCTTTAAAAAATCATAATATGTAGTTTCTTTGAGGGACAAAAAATATTTTAACATTTCTATGCATATGCATGGAAGAAGCGTATAATATGGATTAATCTCTCGATTAGTTTCTCAAGGTTTACAGCTAATAGTTTGAATCAGAGCAGATCAGACATATATCATTATGAGTTCTTCCATTCCATAGCCTAACATGACATGTGATGCGATGTACCAGCTGATAGTGTGGGATAATCTGATCTTTCTTGAGTGGCAAAAATATGGTTTTCTTTAAATAAATCCAAAATGTTTTGACCAACTATAAGGGATAGACTCATTAGAATGACAATAAGTCTCTTAGCTATCCATCCACTGGTCCTAAATAATGCTGATCATGTTGGTAATGCTATTGATTTGTTGAGCATAGTGTAAGGTCAGTTATCTACCGACAGTGATTGACCTTGTGGGATTTGCAGGGATTTGTCTTAAGTTGCTGCTAGAGTGCAAAGACATTCCAATCTTGGGTGTCTGTCTCGGACACCAGGTATTACTTCAAGTTTGTTGGAATGCTCAGTATCATGTATTACCATGCTTATATCAGTATGTTGATTTTCTTCTTGGAAAATTTATATAATACCTATTTCTGCGGAATAATTGGTGTTGGAAATTTTAGAACATTGGGTATTTCTACTGTGTTGGTTTTAGATGTACATACTCTTGCCTCCTTTTTGGGCGATATTGGTATTTTCAAGCCATCATACTAGGAAAGAGAGTTTTTCTGATTGAAACATGAATCCCATGTTGTTCAATGATATTGAAGAGGTGTTTTGCTATATGACGTGTGGCATCAGTTTTGATCTTTTTCTTTCCAAGGGTGACCCCTCCCCATCCTGTTTGTTCTCAATTATTTGACCAAATATCCCCTTTCTATCGGACATCTTGGCTGACGTTGCAAGTTCACATCTGTATGAACTTGCTGCATTGTTTTACCTTGTTTATTGTTATATTTGACTATCCATCCTAATACTGAAACTGAAAGAGTACATTACGTATATGGCTTCATTAGTGTTCTCATTCGCTTCAATGCTTTGACAGGCCTTAGGATATGTTCATGGTGCAGAGGTCATCCATGCCTTGGAACCTGTCCATGGACGTCTGAGGTATAGAAACTCTAGTAGTGTAGCTGTTTTGAAAATGTGCTATAGCAATAAGAGCTGCATTTAGATTCAGCTATCATCTTTAAACGTATCAGGCATTGGCTATTTCAATCATTTTCCTCTATGATATTGGATCATAACACTATTAGCTGTCAAGTTTCTATTGTCATTTTATAGTTTTTGCTCATTTTAGCTCCACTCCTCTTCTTTAGTGAAATTCAGCATAATGGATGCAGACTGTTCCATGATATTCCTTCTGGCAGAAATTCTGGTTTTAAGGTCAGTTTTAAGTTTATTTACAATTCCACATGCATAATTGTCTTTGTTAGGAGTTTCATGACTCATAAAAACCCTAAGGCATAGACATGGCCTATGAACGAAAAACACATGAAACAATAAATAGAAGTAACATTCAGAAAGACAAAGCGGAGGAAAGGATAATTATTCAAAAGAGTTGATATAGAAATTACTAAAACAATGTTTTTACATGGATAGGTTATGACCTTCAGTGATCTTGGTATAAATTACTAGTAGATGTGCCTCCACTTACTGGGTGGGAATATTTGAGGGAGTAAATGCAATCTTTTTGGTTGAATACTAAAATTACACCCTTTGATTCTCATACTTTTGAAAGAACGTAATAATTAATATCTACAAGTTCAAAGATACTGGAGTCGTTTGTAGTTCATAGAGCAGTTTGATCATTATGGTTTCTGAATTGATGCAGGTGGTTCGATACCATTCACTTGTGATAGATGCAAAATCACTTCCAAAGGAACTCATACCTTTAGCATGGACTTGTTCTGCTGATACAATTTCTTCTCTGGGTGACCAAAATTATGACTTTGACGACCACGAAACCTCTCTTAGTTCCTTCAAGGATGGACGGTCAAATTGTGTTGAAGACAACAAAGTTCTTATGGGCATCATGCACTCCACAAGACCTCATTATGGTTTGCAGGTGCGTCTTAATCTTCATTAGCTAATACCTTTGCTCTCATTTGTGAGCTAAATCAAATTTTCCCCTTTGAACCTTCAGTTTCATCCTGAGAGTATAGCCACCTGTCATGGGAGTCAGATATTCAAAAACTTCAGAGAAATTACTCAAGATTTTTGGGTTGGGAAGGACTCTTCCTCCATTAGTGAGAGGAAGCTACAGTATAATGGTAAACAACTAATATAAACGAACCATTTACTCACTTTCTTCATTCATACTCAAGTTGCTGTCCTCAAGAATTTCAAACTTTGAGTTACTTTGTACAACTGAGTTTGCATTGCTAAATATTGGCTTGGTTGATCTAGTGGTTCAAATATATATTTGTTACTTACAGCTGAATGGTGTATTAGCACTGAGCAGTAAACTTTACTTAGCATGCATGCAGGTGAAAAATGGAAGCTGGCAGTTTAAAAACAATCCCAAAAGCAATTACTTGCCTATCCTTGATACAAACCATTTCAAGATGGTAAACTCGTCAAATTTGACGAAGTTTTTAAAGTTAGAATGGAGGAAACTTGAGCATTTATCTTGTCAAGTTGGTGGTGCAGAAAACATATTTCTTGAATTGTTTGGAGATGACAAGGCTGGAAACACCTTTTGGCTGGATAGCTCCTCTACAGAGAAGGTCTATCTCTTGCTTTAAATTATGGTTCTAGGATGTACTTGCATATTTATTACATGCTTGCACGAATATGTTTCTTTAAGGTGATTGTTTTACTTGGGCATTTATAGCTCATTAGTCATTGCATGGTATTGAGGCTAGAACCACAATCTTATTCCATCCAATTTGATATTTTAAAATTTCTCTTTCAGAACGTCACAATCCTGAGGCAATAAAATAATTAAGATGTTTATATTGCATTATCACTGAGCGTCTTTTTTGTTTAATCTCAAGGAATTAGTGCTATCCAATAATATTTACTATACATTTGCTTCTTATGCAGAGAAGAGCTAGATTTTCATTTATGGGTGGAAAAGGTGGCTCTCTTTGGAAGCAGATAACATTCAGATTGTCAGAACCAAGGTTCGAATGAAGATCACTGACCAATTGATTTGAAAGTCATAATATGCGTTTTTATCTCTTAGTTATGTATTTGAATTATCTTTTTGTATACAAACGTTCTCTTTTCCAGTGGAGGCCATATTATAATTGAAGATGCTCAAGGGCTATCTACAACCACATTTCTGAAAGATGGATTCTTCCATTTTATGAATGAGGTATAAGAAAGCAATATCTATACCTTCTCACCTTTTCATATATTATGAAGACAAGGGTCCATTTTTTTAACTCTTCCTGATATATGATGCTTTTGCGTATCAGGAACTCCAGTCTATTCACTATGATGAAAAAGATTATGAAGGATTGCCGTTTGAGTTTTATGGTGGATACATAGGATATCTTGGGTATGTAGATTTTTTTATTGTTCTAATTCAATATCTTTCTACCTCTCAAAATCATGATTAGCTTGGGTGTGTGTGCAGATATGGGCTTAAAGTTGAATGTGGTGCAGCGTATAATCGTCACAAGGCAGAAACACCGGATGCATGTTTCTTCTTTGCAGACAATCTTATAGTTATAGATCATTCCAACGATGATATCTACATTCTCTCGATACATGATCAAAGCACAACATGGTTAGATGATGTTGAGCAGAAGCTTACCAGCTTAAAAGCTTCTTCTGCTCCCCCCAAAACCAAAACGTCACCATCTCAGATTTCTGCTAAGAATAACTCTGTCTTTCTATCCAACAAAACTAGAGAGCAATACATGGAAGATGTGGAGAAATGTCAGAAATTCATTAGAGATGGAGAAAGCTACGAGTTGTGTCTCACAACGCAAATGCGAAAGAAAATAGGAGACATGGATCTTTTGGGGCTTTACTTCCATCTAAGAGAGAAGAATCCTGCCCCATATGCTGCCTGGCTTAATTTCAAACAACACTTGACTATCTGCTGTTCTTCCCCCGAGAGGTTCTTACGTCTAGATAGAGATGGTATCCTCGAGGCAAAACCTATCAAGGGTACCATTGCCCGTGGCTTCACTCCCGAGGAAGATGAAATGTTTAGATCACAACTACAACACAGGTATTATTGCATTGTCACGCACCATTATCTTTTTTGTCTAAAATGAAGTTTTATAATCTGTCTTCTTCGTCTGTTTGCAGTGAAAAGGATCAAGCAGAAAATCTGATGATTGTTGATCTCCTAAGGAACGACCTGGGTCGTGTGTGTGAACCTGGTTCGGTGCATGTCCCACATCTGATGGAGGTTGAATCATATGCAACCGTCCACACGATGGTAAGCACAATCCAAGGAAAGAAACAGCCGAATGTAAGTGCAATTGATTGCGTTAGAGCAGCATTCCCCGGTGGATCAATGACGGGTGCACCCAAGTTGAGATCAATGGAACTTCTTGATTCTCTTGAAACTTGCTCCAGGGGCATCTACTCCGGCTGCATTGGTTTCTTCTCATACAACCAAACATTCGATCTCAACATCGTTATACGAACCGTGGTGGTCCACGAGGGTGAAGCGTCGGTTGGAGCAGGTGGAGCGGTTGTGGCCCTTTCTAGTCCCGAACAAGAGTACAAAGAAATGGTTCTCAAAGCAACAGCTCCAGTCAATGCTGTGCTGGAATATCAACATAAATTCGCTGGTAAAGAAGAATGTGAAAGCCGGTAAACTTTACTTACAATCAAAATTATATTTTTCGCAACTAAATACGAGGATCGATCTCAAAGCTGTAGTTATAGTAAATTGATTTGATTACATTATAGGTTATATGTGAGAAATAGAAATGTGTACATGTATTGTTTGTAGCTTCTATTGCTTACTTTGCCAACTTGAAACTTCATGATAATTGATACCTGCCAAAGATCCAATGTCCATTCTACTTATTTGTCAAAACTACTGGTTGTCACTATAAGTATGAGTTGATGTTTGTTTGTTTGTTTGTTTGTTTGTCTTTTTAAGAAATGCATTGTTTGTCAATTGCTGAATGGTTTGGTGCAGAATGATTAAAAGACTCTCATGATATAGTGCAAAATGAAATATAATTGTTTGGTAATTGTGTACAATGAAATTAGCGCTCTTAATGGTTAAGGGAAATTCATGATACAAAATCATTCAGAGAGTTTTAGAACCATTAAAAGACAGATTTTTTTTTTTCTTTCAAACAAGATTCACCTCTTAAAGATTCAAAGGTTCTCTTATTCACCACCTATATCTTATTGAATCAGAGGTTAGACTCTTTGATGAAAACTTAAAACCTGTTACTATCCAAGATTGGCTTATGTCTTATTAGCTTCTTACCCTCTTCTTATTTGACTAAAACAAAAAACTGATACCCTAAAAAACAAGAGTTTTACAACTTGAAAATGAAACATTTGAAAATTGGTAACATTTAAAATGTGCAAGTTGATATATTTGTTTTTGATTTTAAGTTTTATTAGCATTTATGTTTTCTCTTTGATTTTGATTTACAAAAATAAACAGTCTTATCGATTATGATTTACTTTTCAAACATTTTTTAGAAAACAAGAAACGTCTCAAGCATCCGAGACTAATCATTTGCGTCTCGAATCGAGTCTAACATATTTTTTTTGTTCAATAGCCAAAGCCGAGCCCTTTTTCTATGAGTTCGAAGATTTGCTCTTACCCGCCACCCTTCTTAGCCCACGGACTTATGAGCCCGAACATCCTTTTTATAAGAAAACAAAATTTATATAAAATAAACCAAAATAAATAATAAATTTTCCACCTTAAAAGTTAAAATATGACATAAATACATAACAACGTATATAACTTTAGAAAAATTGTTTCATAAAATACGAAGTAGCGATAAGGGAAACGACGAAATTGTTTCATGTGTCACAAGTACGTGAAGATTGATAAGTCAAGAATTTTCAATTTTGATTATAAAATTTTAACAGGCCACTGAGCTTGTCCAAAACCATTTTGCATCATTCATGTCCGCCCGTTAATTATAAGTTTTAACGAGTCATTTTAGATCCATAATCTTATTCAAAAATGATGATTGCTGCTTTAGATGTTGTCCGAGTGAGAAGTGATTCTATTGGTACAGTTGTTACGAGAGACGTCCCACGTGTAAGTGCTATCTCTTTCTTACTATGTTGTTGTTGTTTTACCATAATAGCAAGAATTGGGCATTATTTTGGATCTGTATTCTTCCGTACTCTATTGAAGTCCTAAATGATTTTGTATCATGAGCCTCCCTTAACCATTCAGCGTCCTAATTTATTGTAAACATTTACCAAACAATTATATTTTATTTTGCGTTATATCGTGAGAACCTCTTAATCATTCCGACCAATTAATCATTCAGCAACTGTGAAACAAAAGACTCTTATAATATATCTTCAAGTGTCACTTTGACCCGTATCGCATAACTTTTCAAATAAATTTAAAACGTAAAAGCAAAAAACTACATCGCACAGTATTGTATATATACATACACACTCCTGCCATTTCATTACCCTTCCAACTTATCCTCTCACACAGAGACACTTGTACTTTTTCAGTTTCACACACCAACAATCAACAAGCACTTGAATGAATCATGACTCGCTCCTCCAGATTCCTATCCACCCTAGTAAACTCCTCCTCCACCGTTTCGGCGGTGGCGGAACCGCCGGAGGCAGTCTCTGTGGAGTCCGATTTCGTAGTCATACTCGCCGCTCTCCTCTGCGCTCTTATTTGTGTTGTAGGCCTTATTATGGTAGCTCGATGCGCATGGCTTCGTCGCAGATCTGCAGCCAACGGCAGTCGGATTTCCGGTCAGCCATCGGCAAATAAAGGAATCAAGAGGAAATTCATTGAAGCTCTCCCTAAGTTCACATATGATTCGGCTAAGGAAAACTCCCGTTGCTGTGAAAAAGGAGGAAAGCTATCGGACGTTGACTGTGCGATCTGCCTGGCCGAGTACGCAGACGGAGATGAGATCCGTGTTTTGCCGCAGTGTGGACACAGATTTCACGTCGGATGTATTGATATGTGGCTCGGTTCTCACTCTTCGTGTCCGTCGTGTAGAGAGATATTGGTGATCACAAGATGCCGGAAGTGCGGCGAGTTTCCGACAATTTCCGCCGGAGAATTTCCAGCGGCAGCAGAACTTAAAGGTAGACAAACTGTTGCTAGTTCTAGTTCCAATGAATTTTTACCGTGAATTATACATAGAAAAAAATAATCAGATATTTGGTTGGGTTAGAGATCGAGGAACATAGTCCGTAATACGGAAAAGCAAACTATATGACGCTGGATGAATCTGTGAGGGTGTTGGCCCTGAAAAACCTCTTCCATCAGAATTGGGAAATATCCATGTGTTTCAACATTTCTTCAACGAATATTAAATTTTGTTTTATATTAAAACAAATTTCATACCATCTTTTTCTTTAAATTGGTTTAACATTGTATCTATACTATATTATTAAACTTTTGATAAAAATTCTTAAAAACCATTTTTTATGCACGAAGTACTGTTTATTGATGCATATTACTTAAAATTTTCAAAATTACAAGTAAATTGTCCGTATGTACAACTTATTAAAGCTTCATGTTTGAATTCGTGTGACTAACTGCAAATAAACATAATCAAATACTTGATAAGTATCTCATTTTAAATATAAAAAATCTAAAATTTATTTAGAATAATCATTGAATTCTAACAAAATATTAAATATTATCTTTATAAAAGAATGATATTATTAAACATAAAATAAATGACTTTGTTACTAAATCTAAATTAAAATAAATAAAAAAATTGAATTAAAGAAATTAGTAAAAAAAAAGAACTTTAAATATTTAATTTGATACTAAAATCGATACATTTTTTTTCAAAACCTTATGATACATTCAGATTTACATTTTATTCAAAAAATAAAAGAATTATCGTTTTTTCAGTACCACATAAAATCGTATTATAACATCAACAGAGACAAAATAAAACGAAATATTAAAATCGAAATGTCTCTTATTGTATTGTTTGAGTACTCTTCTAGATAAATTAAAATAAAAATATTTAAATGTCATTAATTAATTTTTTTAAATGATAACACTCTCACACACATTATGGGAACATATTAAAATTAAAGATACATATAGCATGTAACATTAAAAAGAAGAGTAAGTTTCGAATTTGGTCTCCAAAGTATGTTGCTTTCAAAGAAATTGATAAATTTCATATATATATATATATATATATATATATATATATATATATATATATATATATAGAGAGAGAGAGAGAGAGAGAGAGAGAGAGAGAAAGAGTGTTACAAGTCTCTTATTTTATGCAAACAATAGAAATCACCATCAACTAATAAAATAATTTCATGTTTTTTTTCTTTATTTTTAATAAATAAGGGTATGAATGTCATTTTATATTGTAATAGATAATCTTGATAATGTTTTAATTGTTTTTAAATATGGAAGATTAAATAGAGTAGCTGTTTTTAAGGAAATTGTAAATCAATTGATTTTAATATATAATTATTAACATTAATATTTTTATACTCTTTTATTAAATTAAAAATACTACATCAATTACAAAGTCTATTTGTAATCATTTATTTGTTATGAAATTATTTATTTCATTGTCATAATAACAAAAGAATCTATTTGTAAAAATGCTACATCAAAATGTTTCAAAAATGAAACTAATTTCATTTTGGTTAGGAACCATGAAACTACTTTCATTAATGAAATAATAGTATCCACCTCTTGAAATGTTTCATTAAATGAACCATATTTGGTTTCATTAATAAAACCAATTTCATCTTGGCTATAAACCATGAAACCGATTCCATTTTAGTTAGGAAACATGAAAAAAGTTAAAAAAAAATGAATGAAATATTATTATTAAGTTCTTGAAGTGTTTCATTAACTGAACAATATTTAGTTTCATATGTAAAACCGAGTTCATATTGGTTATAAACCATGAAATCGATTCCATTTTGGTTAGGAAACATATCAACAAATTTCACTGCTGAAACAATGTCATTCAGATTTTTTAATTGTGGAGTCAATGAAACCAATTTCAATGATGAAACGAATTTCATTAACGAAAACATGTTATCTAGATTTTTGAAAAATGTTTCATTGACTGAACCATATCTGACTAAAATTTTATTATGCAAACGAACAATGAAACCAATTTCACTAATGAAAATTTAAGATACAGTTTCCAAAATGTTTTTATTGATGAAACCAATTTCACTAATGAAATCGTATTATTTTTTAAAATCAGATACAATTTCCAAAATGTTTCCAAAAGAATCGAACATTAGGGCTGTAAACGAACCGAACGTTCAGTGAACCGTTCATGAACCGTTCGGCGGGAAGTTCGTTTATTTAATAAATGAACGGACATGAACAAAAAAATTTGTTCGTTTAGTTAAACGAACGAACATGAACAAGAGTCTCGTTCGTTCATTTATGTTCATGAATGTTCTTTCATTTACCGTTCGTTTACGTTCGTTTATATTTGTTCATTTATGTTCGTTTACATACTAAATTTAATATATAATTCTTTGTTTATTTACTTTGAATTCAAATAATATTTATTTTTGTTCGTTTAGTCCGTTCGTTTAAGTTCGTTAAGCTCGTTCGTTTATGTTCGTTCGTTTATGTTCGTTTAGCATGTTAACGAACGAACATAAACGAACATGAACATACCCGATTTCTAAACGAACGAACATGAACACAAAGATTTTCGTTCGTTTACCATTCGTGTTCGTTCGTTTGTTCGGTTAAGTTAAACGAACGAACATGAACAAGCCTCCGTTCATGTTCGTTCGGTTCGTTTACAGCCCTATCGAACATTATAGCTGGAAGTTAAAAATGGTTTGTCAATTTTGCCCTTTCTTGATTAAATATTAAACCTTTTATTTTATTTTTTTACTTTCCTAATATAACACATTTTAATCAATGACCATTGATCAAGAAAATGAATGGATAAGATTGATTTGTAGGGTTTACACAAAAGAGGGTGGTTTGCATTTGATCGTTCCTCTCTATATACATATGTATATAAAATTGACTATTGATTTGATTTCTTTAGCTAACGACCATTAAAATTAATGGTAAAGTTATGTTAATTCAAGGGTATTATAATCTTTTATTTTTTAATATATTTTAAAAACTAAAAAATATATATTATTTACAAATAATGTAATATAAAGTTTGGTGATTCATTTAATTAGTAAACTATATGATCATTATTAGCGTACATATTTATGTCCTTTTGTTCAAATATCCAAATTGAGCACGAGGCATGGATGTGTCATCCTTGTCCTCTCCAATCTTTAGTTTCTTTATTCTAGGATTTTACTTATGAGACAGTATCTCATACTGATTATCTAAACATGCATGCACTTCCTCAGTACTATTTAATCGAGGGGCCTAGAGATATCACTTTTGGCATCCAAGAGGAACAAACCTTATCTTAATTTATGTTAGTAATACTAATTACTAAGTGATATATGATATAGCCAACAACCATTTTGTCACCAGTTACGGAATGATTAAAATTGATTATCAAAATATACCACTCACACAGAGCAAACTCCCTGATCTCAAGTCAAAGAACTACATGTACAACGACCACATAAGAAACCTCTATGACACTAATATAACATCCAATTAGATGTTCTCAAAGCAAGTCATGTCCGATACGCAAGATCTCATCTTGTATCCATATGTAGATTCCATATATCCATATGAATCCCTGCGTATACTAGTCGTATTATATTAATTCAACCTAAACCCAAATTAATATTTGACTAAAGACACTTTAGAATACATTATTCTAAAGTTATTATTACGTTTAGATATAACACAGAATAATACGTAAACATAATAGTTGGGCAATGTCTTTCATTAATTAATACCATGATACAATGTCCAAACAGAATCATCCAATGATTGGCTTTTGGGCACATACACATCCACAATTAATCGACTTTTTCTCCAAATATCATATGTGATATTGATCACATTAATTTAAGTGGAAAAGAAATAATATAGGTTATCTCCAACATTACATATGATATTTGTAAATTATGAATTACATTTTGAAATATGTAATTAGGAAAAAAAATTGAAAAAATCAATTAATTGTAAATCATATATGATTTTGACGAAAATTGTAATTTTTTAAACACTACCTTAAATAAAAATAATAAATTCTTTAAATGAAAACTAAAGACACTTATTATAAA